TGAACATGGTCTACCAAGAGGTTGTGCAAGAGAAGCTCGCAGAGCTGAACCTTCTGCTGGCCCAGAACCGTGCACAGCAGGAGGAGCTCACTTGCGGTCTGGCTGGGTCCAAAGGCCCAAAGGAGAAGAGCAGAAAGAGCCTCCCCCCTCACATGTACATCGGGCATTTTATGAAGTCCTACTTCAAGGACAAGGTCACTGGTGTGGGGCCCCCAGCCAACGAGGACATGCGGGAAAAGGCAGCCCAGGGTGTCAAGTCCTTCGAGGAGCTCCTGGTGACCAAGTGGAAGAGCTGGGAGAAGACCCTGCTCAGGAAATCCGTGATGAGTGACCATCTGCACCGTCTGCTTCAGCCAAAACTGCTTAAACAGCAGTACTTAAAGCAGAAGCAGAGCCACGTCACCAGCAAAATGGAGGAGAAGGTTCTAGAGAAACAGGTCCGAGACACAGAGAAGGAGATTGAGGACATCCACCAGCTCCCGGAAGAGGCTCTTCTGGGCAACAGACTGGACAGCCACGACTGGGAGAAAATTTCCAACGTGAACTTTGAAGGCCGCCGCAGTGCAGAGGAGATCCGAAAGTTCTGGCAGAATTGCGAGCACCCAAGCATCAACAAGCAGGAGTGGAGCCGAGAGGAAGTGGAGCAGCTGAAGATAGTGTCAGGCCAGCATGGCCACCTGGGGTGGCAGAAGATCGCCGAGGAGCTGGGGACCCAGCGCAGCGCCTTCCAGTGCCTGCAGAAGTTCCAGCAGCACAACCAGGACCTGAAGCGGAAGGAGTGGACGGAGGAGGAGGACAGCATGCTCACGCAGCTGGTGCAGGAGATGCGCGTGGGCAGCCACATCCCCTACCGCAGAATTGTCTACTACATGGAAGGGCGTGACTCCATGCAGCTCATCTACCGCTGGACCAAGAGCCTGGACCCCCGCCTTAGGAAGGGCTGCTGGGCCCCCGAGGAGGACGCTAAGCTGCTTCAGGCTGTCGCCAAACATGGGGCCCACGACTGGTTTAAGATCCGGGAGGAGGTGCCAGGCCGCAGTGATGCCCAGTGCCGGGACCGATACCTGAGAAGGTTGCACTTCAGCCTAAAGAAGGGACGATGGAACCTGAAGGAAGAGGAAAAGCTGATCGAACTGATAGAGAAGTACGGGGCTGGCCATTGGGCAAAAATCGCCGCAGAGCTGCCCCACCGGACAGGCTCCCAGTGTCTGAGCAAATGGAAGATCATGGTGAGGAAGCAGCAGCGTCACCAGCAGAGGCGGCGAAGGCCCCGGCGCTGTGTGCAGTGGAGCTTCAGCAGTGAGGACAGTGGGGACAGTCGGGATGGGGACAGCAGCAGCAGCAGCGAGGATGCAGAGACAGAATCGGAGGACAGCCTGCCAGTCAGGCAGGGAGGCAGAGCCCTGCCTTCAACCATGTATGTGGTGCCGCACATGGACCTGTGGGTTCCTGCCAGGCACAGTGCCCCAGAACGACGGAAAGGGGGCACATGGGGTTGGCCGGATCAGCAGGAGGCTGAGTCTGCCACAGTCCCGGGCCCCAGAGCAGGCACAAGTCAGGCTTCAGGGGAGCACAGCAGTGTCCAGAGCCCACATTCGGTGGACAGCCAGAAGCTGGGGGAAAAGGCGGTGCCCCTGGAGGCCGTGCTGCAGGTGCTCCAGGCCAACACAGCTGCTCAGGGCCAGGGGCTGAAAAAACAAAGGCCACCTGCCCAGCCCATCCTGGCACCAGGGCCCAGCACAGAGGCAATCCCTGGGCCCCATGGCCAGCTCCCGCGGCCCGTCTCAGTCCTAGATGGGCAGCGTCACCAGAGACAGAGACACACCCTGCAGAAGAGGCTTCTCCTCCGCCGGCTCCTGATGGCCGTGGGCCCATGGGTGGGCGACATCACCCTGTCCTGCACGCAGGCATCCCGGAGGCCTGTGGCAGTGCAGACAAGAGCTGATGTCATCAGGAGGCAACTGCAGGGCGCCCGCCTCTCAAGCACACCAGTGTTTACCCTGTTGGTCCAGCTTTTCCAGATCGATGCTGACGGCTGCATGGAGGTCATCCGGGAGAGGAAGGCCCAGCCACCTGCCGAGCCGCCCCATCTGCAGGTACCCCTGAGTGCCCAGCACTGCCCAGGTTGTCCTTCCTCGGGTGCTCCAGGGCAGGAACCCGCAGGGCAGGCCACTAACCCCAGTGGCGGCAGGAGGCCAGGGCCCTGGCAGCCGGAGTCTGTGGGGCCACAAACCACCAGTGGCCCTCGGCCCAAACCCAAGACCGTGTCCGAGCTGCTGCGAGAGAAAAGGCTGCGGGAAGCCCGGGCCAAGAGGACCATGCTGAGCCCCAGGGCCCTCCCACTCCAGCTGCTGGTCTCCTCACCTGACGTGCCCCTGCCCCATCTAAAGACGGCCCCCCAAGGATCCCCAGCTGCTGGGCTGACCATCTGCAGCCCCGCACTCCCAGGACCTAGAGCCCCTGTGGAGGCCAGCCCAGGCACTGCTGGCCCCTTGCAGGGGGTACATGCCCTAGTCAAGGAAGAGGGACCTCGACCTCTTACCCTGGAGGCCTCAGCCGGTCCCACCACAGGGGCCAGCAGTCCAGCACCAGGCCCCAGCCAAGTACTTGTCCTCAGCCAGCCCAGTAACCCAGGGCAGTCCCCGGCCCCCAGCACATCGCAAAAGCAAGGTCTGCCCCAGCTACCGCCCCTCCTTCCTGCCTCCCCCAGCCCTGCACAGCTGCCCGGAGTCAGCCTGGTAGCGGTCCCGGTGGCAGCCAGTACAGCCCTGCCTGTCACCTGGGTACTCACACCTCAGGGCCTGCTGCCCGTTCCCGTGCCGGCCATGGTGGCCCTTCCCCCGCCTGCAGGAGCCCCAGCACTGGCCGTGAGTCCTCCCACCCGCACTGAGACTCCCGCCCCTCAGCATGTCCAGACCTCTGCCGCTGGGGTGCCTCCCACCCTCCACAGTCCTGCAGTGGCGAGGGGGGACTTGGTCTCCACGCCAGGACAGCTTTCTTCCCCTGGAGCACCCCAAGGGGTTGGAGAGACTTCTGTGCCCCAGCTGCCTCCCTGTGGTGGCAGCGGTCCAGTGGGGACACGTGGGGACTCAGAGACAGCGGGCCCTCTGTTCTCGGACAAGCCACCCTCACTCCAGCCTGGTCCCAAGAAGGACCTCCTAGACATGAGCCTCCTGACTGCAGAGGCCACAGAGGCCACACAGACCTGGCTGAGGGGGCACCAGGGAGGGTGTGTGTCACCTATGGGGAGCAGGCTGCCCTACCAGCCCCCAGTGCTCTGCACCCTGAGGGTGTTGTCCAGCCTCCTGGTGCACAAACGAGCCCTCGAGAACAAGGCTGTCACCCTGGTGTCCAGCAATGTGACAGGAAGCAGGGGGGAGTCCCTGGCTGAAGCCCTGAAGGCTGCCCGGGAGCTGGTGCGGACAAAGCTGGGGGACAGCCCAGCCTACCTGCTGCTCAAGGCCCGCTTCCTGGCTGCCTTCTCCCTACCTGCTCTCCTGGCCACCCTGCCCCCCCATGGTGTCTCCACTACCCTGTCAGCTGCCACCCAGCTAGAGAGCGACAGTGACCCAGGGGAGCCCGAGTCCCCTGATGAGGGCCACATGGCCAGCAACCCTCCAGAGGGGCCACAGGCAGCACCAGGCCCCAGCCAGGCCTCCGTCCCCTGCTGCCCCGACACCCTGGGCGACCTCCGTGTGCTCAGGTCACGGCACAGCCGGAAGCGGAGACGGCTGTCCTGAGAGGATCTCTGACCACCAGTCATTGTTCACGTGCCTTGTCTGTCCCTCGGATGGCCTCATTCCCTGACCTGCATTATACTTCGTGGAACTTGGGCCCAAATTGGGCTTGTCACCACCCAAACCCGGACAGCACTAGATGCTCTGCAGCCCTACGTCCAGTCAGCAGGAGTCCAGGAAAGTCAGCTGCCGAAAACTGCCCAGAGACGGACATGCTAAGAGATTAGCCTGTGTCCCTAAACACGCCTTCAGAGCGAGGGCCCACAGCCCTGCCACTGCTGCCCATCCCGATACCCTGGGGCCAGCCCCCCATCACTCCTGCCCTCACCCGTTCCCCGAGGCCAGCCCCCCATCCTTTCTGGCACAAGGCCTGGAGTTCTCCCTGGCTTACATGTCCTCAACCATGGGTCCATCTGGGAGGACCTACCTGACCCAGAGCCCCCGTCTACTCAAAAGACAAAGCTGACTGCCCTGTTCCCTTTGACTCATCCCCACCATGGGACTCTGGCCCTAAGTGCAAATTTCAACACTTGAGAAAATAAAAGGATGTTATATTTAAAAAATAAAAAATAAAAATAGGACCTGTAGAATTCTAGGAATTGATTATGCTTTATGTTTATGTTAACATAATTATTAGGAGAATCACAAAATAGCAGGTCTTTTGGGAAAATTTATACATTTACTTATTAAGCAGAGGTCAAACAGAACAGGCACTGCAGTTTTCAAATTAATTAGAATTTATTTTAAACTCACCCACTATAGAAACTTCCTTTTTAAAGGTTGAACTGAACATTGGATTAAATTTACCATGAGAAATGTTTTCGCCTTATTGGTTGTTAAACATAGAATAAAGAACCATCTAAATATTTTGAGGCGAAACATATTTATAGCAACAGTTTAGACACTGTACAAAGTTAAAATAACGTCAGAAGTTTCCAAGTAGATGGAATAATCTAAACAGGAAGTGCTTATGATTTTGGGAGGGAACGGTATAGAATGAAAGGATGGAGAAATCACGTCTATAATGTTATGAGCCTGAATATTTTACATGACAGCCTTTATAATCATATCCTGATTATTAATTTTGAGAGGAAAATAGGTAGAGTTAGGTGAAGGACAAAGAAAATCCTCCTTTGTCAGAGCACAGGTTTGACTCAATTCAGTGAGTTGCTCAAGGACATAAACAAGGCAGCTGGGCCTCTACTTTGCTTTTCATTTTCCAGCATTACTATAAATGAATACTTACAGAATTGCGCCACTTACCAAGCATAGTAGGGTAAATATCCACAAGGGAAACCACATTTGACACTTGCAGGTTGGGCTTAATTCCCGGTCCCATCATCAAGAGAGGCACATGGACACTGGCTTCGTACATACTCATTTTATAGAACTGTCGGTGTTCCATGGCCAGCTCCCCATGGTCTGAAGTGAAGATGACAATAGTTTTGTGGAGAAGATCTGACTGATTTAGGGCCGAAATAATTTCACCTATAAATAAAAATTAATCTATGCTTAAATTAGCTTTTAGTTCATGGTTTTTTTTTCCCTTTGTTTTTTTCTGTCAGAACACTTCTTAGCATCTTTTAAAACATAATGGAATCAAAACTGATCCACAGCTGACCCTCTGGCGGGTTTTCAGAGGCAGTTAACTGCATGGGAAGAGATTGTCCATCCTTCTCTGGCTTAAAACTTAACTGTTGTTGTTGTTTTTATGTGCTGTCTAGTCACTTGCGACTCAGAGCAACCCTATGTACAACAGCCCTAAACTCTGCTCTGTCCTGTGCCAATTGCACTGTCCCTGACACACCCAACCCGATTACCCCAGTCACTGAATTAATCCACCTCATAGAGGGCCTTCCTCTCCTGTGCTGTCCCTCTACCCTCCCAAGCATGATGTCCCTCTCCAAGGACCTGCCCCTCCTTACAATATGTCCAAGGCATGCCAGAGGAAGCCCCAGAATCCTTGCCTCCAAGGAGCCACCTGGTTTAACCCTTTCCAGGATAAATCTGTTTTCCTAGCAGTCCATGGTACTCTCAATACTCTTGTCCTGCACTACAGCTCAAAGGCATCAATTCTCCTTCTATCCTCCTTAGTCATTGTCCAACTCTCTGATGCATAATAAGTGATTGCAAAGACCATGTCCTGCATTAGATGCACCATAGTCTCCAGGGAGACACCACTGCTCTTCAGAACTTAGGAAAGGTCCCTAACAGCAGACTTTCCCATTGCAATATGTCTTCTAATTTGCTGGCTGCTGGAGCCAAGAGTGTTGACTGTGGAGCCAAGCAAACTAAAGCTGTGAACAATCTCAATCTCTTCACCATCCATCCTGATGCTGCCAATTGGTCCAGTGGTGAGAATCTTTGTCTTCTTGACATTGAGCCTCAATCCATATTGAAGGCTGCAGTCCTTGACCCTCTGCAGCAAGTGCTTCAGATCCTCCTTAGTTTTAGCAAGCAGGGTTGTGTCATCTGCACAACACAGATTGTTGCTAGATCTTCCACCAATCCTGATGTCACATTTCTCTTCATAGAGCCCAGCCTCCCAGATAATCTGTTCTGCATACAGGTTGAAAAGGTATGGAGACAGGACACATCACTGGCATACGCCCTTCCCAATTTTGAACCATGCGGTGTTTCCTTGCTCTGTTCTGACCTCTTGGTCCAAGTATAGGTTTCATTAGCATGATCAAGGGTTCTGGGATTCCCATTCTTTATAAAGTCAGCCACAGTTTGTTATGATCCACACAGTCAAACACCTTTGCATAGTCTATGAAACACAGACACTCCTCTAGTACTCCCTGCTTTCAGCTAAGATCCATATAATATTAGCTACAATATTCCTAGTACCACGACCCCTTCTAAACTCAGCCTGGACTTCTGGGAGTTCTCTACTGATGTGCTGTTCTGGTTGTTTTTGGATAATCTTCAGTAGAATCTTGCTTGCGTGTGAAATCAATGATATTGTTCTATAGTTTTCACACTCTGTTGGGTCACTCTCCTTTGGAATGTGAAGAAATACAGATTTCTTCCAGTTAGTTGGCCAAGTGGTTGTTCTCCAGATTTCTTGGCACACCTTGGTGAGCACGTCCAGGGCAGCATCTGTTAGCTGAAATATGACAATTAGTATACAATCTATTCCTGGGGCCTTATTTTTGGCCATTTTCTTCAAAGCAGCCTGAACTACTTCCTTCATCACCATAGGCTCTTGGTCATATGTTTTTTCATCAAATTCTTCTGTGTCTGCCAATTCCTTTTGATACAGTGACTCAGTATATTCTTTCCATCTTCTTTTAATACTTCCTGCATCATTTAATATTCTGCCTAAAGCATCCTTGATTATATCAACTCGAGGTTGATATTTGTTCTTCAGTTCTTTGAGCTTAATAAATGCTGAGAGTTCGACCCTTTTGATTTTCCGACTTCAGCTCCTTGGACATTTCATTGTAATAATTTACTTTGTCATCCCGCGCTGCCTTTTGAAATCTTCTATTCAACTCTTTAGTATCATCTTGAATTCATCATGCTGCTTTGGCTTCTCTGTGCTCCAGTGCAATATTCAGTGTCTTCTGACATGCATTTTGGTCTTTTCTTCTTCCTCTTCTGTCTTTACAATAACCGTTTGCACACTTCCTGAATGATACCCTTGATATCCTCCCACAACTCATCTGGTCTTCGCTCATTAGTGTTCAAGGCTTCAAACCTGTTCCGAGATGGTTCTGAAATTCAGGTGAAATAGACTCAAAGCCATATTTTGGTTCCCTTAGATTCGGTTTAATTTTCCTCAGCTTCAGCTTGAACTTGCATATGTGTAGTTGGTAGTCTGTTGCACAATCAGCTCCTGCCTGGCCTACTTTTCACAGCTGATAGTGAGCTTCTCCAGTGGTTCTTTCCACAGATATTATCGATCTGATTCCTATACATACCATCAGGTGAAATCCATATATATAACCTGTGTTTATGTCTCTTAAAAAAGTATTTGCGGGAGGGTTTGTGCAGGGAGAAGGGTGCAACAATGAATGAATGGAATCCCAAAATCTCTATAGATGTTCATTGAAATGAAAAATAAACAACATAAATTTAAAAAAAAAGGGGAAAAAAAGAAAAAAACCATATTTGCAATGAAAAAAAAAGTATTTGCAATGAATAAATGATTGTGCAAAATTCAATCATTCTCTCTCCAGCTCCATTTCTGTCACCAAGTCCATGTTTTCCAACTACTGAATCTTCCTCTCTGTTCCCAACTTTTGCATTCCAGCCAACCATTATTATCAATGCATCTTGTTTGCATGTTTGATCAATCTCCAACTGTAAAAGTTAGTAGATACCTTCTATTTCCTCCTCTTTGGCTCAGATTGTTGGTGCATATATCTGAATGATAGTGGTATTTTCTGGACATAATAGAGGAGGGGGAAAAATTACAGTATTTGGAATTATTTTTTAAATGAGATGCTTATGTAAACTTTTTCCTGAAATTGAAAAGTGGAAATCATCTCTTGAATAGTGAATATGCACTTAGGCTTCATGAATGTGCACATTAACTTAATATACAAATATTTGAACAGTGACTAATGTTCCAAGTACTGCTTTATTTTCTAAAAAAATTATTCATGAAATGGACAAAGATGATTTTTTTAAAATTTTTTTTTATTTTGTTATTTGTGTACCGTCAAATCAGATCTGACTGGTACAGGAGGGAACTGCCCCTCCTTCCCTGGCAGAGCATCTGGTGGATTTGAACCGTGCGCCTCTGGGACTGCAGTGCAGCTTCTTGCCACTAGGCCACCAGAGGTCCCCTAAAGATGATAACTTTTATGGAAAATATTTTCAACTATGACTGGACACTGCAACCATCTGTGGCATTTTAAAGAAATATAAATTGATGCCTAGGAGTAATTCCATGAAAACAAACTTTTTGAAAAGTGGGTTGCTAACAGAAGATCTTTGGATCCTCTGGGACTCCGTAACAGTATTATGAGCAGCAGATGGAAAGAACAAACTGCATATTAACTAATGTTTTTAACATAAGTTACATCAAATTAATGGATGCATGAATAGTTACACATTTAAAAAGTGACTTTTAGAGTAAAAATAGATGCAAATTTATGAATAATAGAAAATATTGATGAAATAGAATTCAGTAGATATGTGCACTTAAGACTAAAGAAAAAAGTTATATTTGTATTCTAGATTGCATATGTAGCACAATCTTTATAACACTTTTAATATATTAAAAATAATTTATCTCTGATTTTTTTGCTTGCTGATTTATACTTTTCTAGTTTTCACTATGAGTATTTTATAATAAACTATATTCACTAGTCCAATCACAAGGTGTTTGCTCTGTACAGAAGAGGGCCTACTCATATTTTAATAACACAATTATGTTTTACTCCAAAGTGCAATAAAATGAAATCATATGGTTTATGCATATAACTTTTGTTAATTAGTGTTTCTCCACGAAGCTAATGTCTCTTCACATCTCAACTTGAAAGTAGCATAAATGAATACGCAAGGTATTCTCTTGGATAATAAGGTTAGGGTTTAAGTTTTAAGTTGACTATGAGCTTGAAGGGCAAGGAATTCACTGTGATCGAGGACCAGAATATATATATGAAGAAATGTTCTTCCACTTCAGTTAAGCTTTACTCTAAAGGGATTAGGGAAGAATTGATTTATTTTACATTTTTTAAAAGTCTAGAACAGGCTAAAAGATGCTCTAACTAAATATTCCCATTTCCTAGAATATAAGCCATCTTATATTTACTCCTCACATACAGTGTTTGACAGTGTAGGTTCTGGATTAAAGAGGTAAAACGTTTTTTTTTTTCAAGTAAATGATGGTCTACTACCCTTTGTTTACTTAGGAACATATCTAGGTATTTGCTAATTTATGAATGACGAAGGCAGAAAGACTCTTTTCTCCACTATGCCTATCTACTTCCTAAATAACATGCCTCTTGGAAACTCTACAAACTTTGACAAATGACTGAAAGTCTGCTATTAGGGACCTCTCCAAAGTACTGAAGAGCAATGGTGTCTCCCTGGAGACTAAGGTGCATTTGATACAGGCCATGGTCTTCGCAATCACTTGTTATGCATCAGAGAATTGGACAATGACCAAGGAGGATAGAAGGAGAATTGATGCCTTTGAGCTGTGCTGCTGGAGAAGAGTATTGAGAATACCATGGACTCCTAGGAAAACAAAGAGATTTGTCCTCGAAAGGGTTAAACCAGGTGGCTCCTTGGAGGAAAGGATTCTGAGGCTCTGTCTAACATACTTTGGACATGTTGTAAGGAGAGACCGGTCCTTGGAGAAGGACATCATGCTTGGGAGGGTGGAGGGACAGCGCAGGAGGGGAAGGCCCTCTATGAGGTGGATTGATTCAGTGACTGGGATAACCAGGATGGGAGTGTCAGAGACAGTGCAATTGGCACAGGACAGAGCAGAGTTTAGGGCTGTTGTACATAGGGTCGCTATGAGTCGCAAGCAACTCGATGGCACATAACAACATAACAACACATATTTATAGAAGGGCTTCAGGCCTTTTATTCATAGGGTCGATATGAGTCGTGCTTGAGTTGATGGCAATCAATAAGAACAACATGCCTATTTAATCTATATGTTGAACAAATTATCTGAGAAGCTGGACTCTATGAAGGGTCTAAGAGGAGTCTAAGAGGAATGTGGCATCAAGATTGGAGGGAGACTCATTAAACCTGTGTTATGCAGATGACACAACCTTGCTTGCTCAAAGTGAGGAGGACTTGAGGCACTTGTTGCAGAAGATCAAGAATTATAGTCTTCAGTATGAACACCATCTCAGTGTCAAGAAAACAAGGATTCCTACCACTGGACTGATAGGCAATATCATGATGGATGGAGAGGAGACTGAAACTGTCAATAGCTTCATCTTTCTTGGTTCTGCAATTAACATCCTTGATAGTAGTAGTCAGGAAATAAGGAGACACACGGAATTGGGAAAATCTGCAGTTAAGGACATCTCCAAATTATTGAGGAGTAATGATGCCAGTTTGAGGACTAAAGTTTGAGGGTTCAGGCCATCCATAGTCTTTCCTATCACTAGCTATTCATCTGAGAGCTAGACATTGAATAATGATGACAGCAGAAGAATTGATGCTTTTGAGCTGTGGTGTTGAAGAACAGCATTGAACATCCCCTGGATGGCCAAGAGAACAAACAGATTTGTCTTGGAGAGGGTGCAGCTGGAGTGGAGAGCTCTTTCGAGGCAGGAATTAGGATTCACCTCACATACTTTGGACATATTGGTAGGAGGGGCTATTCCCTGGAAAGGGACATGATGTTGGGAAGGGTGGAGGGCCAGTGAGGTAGAAGACCCTCAACAAGGTGGATTGACAGGGTGACTGCTGCAATGGGCTCTTGTGTGTCAGGAAATGTGAGGACAGCCCAGGATAGAACAGGATTCTTTTGTTCATAGGGTCGCTATGAGATGTATTCTACTCAGCGGCACCTAAAAACAACAACAGCAATGAATTATGTGAGTTACCTAACATATATGTCAAGGTTTCTATAATTATAAGCTTCAAATATCTGAAAAACTGTTCTAAGGAATTATTCAAGAGCATTCATAAAAGTCACTAAGCATCACCATAGATCATTGAAAAAATTAGACTTTGTCTTTATGTAAGTGCTTATTAATTATACCACCTACCAAGCATGGCATCTGTCTCAGCACACATAGCATAGTAAAATGCTCTAATATTCTTAATTTCTTTTTTGGTAAACTTTCCAGTGCAGTTTTTTGTATAAGATGAGTAATAATCTATAGGGTGCATTTCTGAAAGAGGCAACCACTTTGGGATTTTGATGGCATTATCATATACCTAAAAAAATGAGAGAAAAACTTAGTTACATTGGAGGGAAACGCTCAGCTGTGCTGTTGATGTTGCTGGGTGCTATAGAGTCCACTGTGACCTATCACAAACTCATGTGACAGAGTAGAACTGCTCTATATGGTTTTACTGGCTGCAAATGTCACAGAAGCAGAATACAAGTTATTTTGCCCAAAGGGGAGAAGCTGGATAGGTTCACACTGCTAACTTGCTGGTTACCAGTCAAGTGCTTAACTGGTATAAGTAACTAGTTCTCTTGTGCTGTAGTAATATTTCTCTCCTAACTTCCAACTGATACATAGGTTTAACTAACTCCCTCATTGTCATTGAGTCAGAAGTGACTCATAGCTGACCCTCCAGTAGGTTTTCAGAGGCTGTAAATTATACAGAAGATAGAGTGCCCATTTCCCCCCCTTGGAGTGTCTTTTAGATTTGAAATATAAGAGAGGTTCTGTCTATAAGATTAGTCCCTATAGACTATGCCACCAGAGCTAATATTTAATCACTTAGAATAGTAGAAAAGCATAGTTATTTATAAGTTATAGGAAGAAAATAGTAAGTACATAAACATGGAACAAATTATTGTTACTAACTAACAACAGAAAGTATTATGTAAAAATTACTTTAAAAATGCACATATCAATGAAAAACATAAATTAGACAGAACTCTAGTCCAGAAAATGACACACATTTTAAAACAGTATGACTAATTAAAAACTTCAAAATCAACAGAAATTTCTTATCTTCAGTAGTTCACTAGTAAGAATGTTAATTTATAATGAGATAAACAACACATTTGATTAAAAACAGAACATTTTAACATATACACATACTATTTTGATAAAAAAATTAAGACTTGGTTTTGAAATCACATACACATCATTTAGTCATGTGACTTATAAAAGTAGATACTATTTACTTAAAATTTGTGGAAACTACAGAACAATTTCACTGATTTCACATGCAAGCAAGATTTTACTGAAAATTATCCAAAAACGACTGGAACAGCACATCAACAGAGAAC